GCGGGCGAACCTGATGGGTGCAGGAGGACTAAGCGGGGTGACAACTTCGTGGGTTGGTGCGTGACGACGGACTGTCCGCATCGGAAAGAAAGAGAGAGAGGAAGAGGGAGCTGAGGTTGATGGACGCGGAGTTGCAATTTTCTTTGTCTTATCTCCCTCTTACTTTTGTATATAAATTTTGATCTCGGCTCAGGGCGACTTGCCCGTTTTCTTTTGTTTTCGGAATCCTTGTCTTGGTTTCAGCCCTCACTCGTTTTGTGATTGATCTTGATCTCGTTTATTGTGTGAATGGATGAATGGATGTTATGTCTGTTGCTTTTCTTTTGTCTGATCTTTGTCATGCTTGACATTTTTGATACACTCATAAGCATAGTAGAAACTCTTGCGTAGTCGTCATTACTGTTTCCCTTACTGCTTATCCCTTTGATCCGTTGTGGTTGCGGCGATGTTTGATGTGTAATAATACCTCGCATGCTCAGGAACGATTGCTTGCGAGATCACAAAGTGATTAGATGATTGGGCAGTTGTTTACGGCACATGGCGATTTTGCATAAAGAATTAGGCTTTCATTCTCCCAGAAACGAGCGAACACCTCGCGGGGACATGTGTAAGCGCGATTCGATCTGCACAGCCTACACGTGTCCACGTGCGCCGATTCACGACCATTGACGAACTCGACATCTTCGGTATCAGGTAGGCGGGAATTTTCCTTCATCACCCCACAATGACAAGATGCCGAGCTCCTGGGACTCAGAGTACTTCGACCCTTGGGTAAGAGAATGTATTAGGCAAAGATACCCGAAATTCCCCTGCCTAACAGAGAATCGATTGTGCCCCAGGAAGTTTCACTGTGCCATAACCAGCGATCCGAGGTGCCCCTATTTTCCCACTACGGATAACACGTAATACTTCATATCCCCCGGCTTCGTTGTTATCACTACCAATTTCCCTCTCTTCTGTATCCTCCTTCCATATCACCAACTCACGGTGGTACCGTGGAATTCCATCGCCCCGTATTGGCCCCGCACGCCCTGCGGAAATTGTCGGTGACGTGGCAACCGACGAGCCTCTGAAACTACGGGGCCCAACCAAAACGCGCGACGACAGGCGCCAYGTGTCTACRCCCGAAGGTCCGACTCATCGGAATCGCAACCATCACGGGCGGGCCTCTCCCCGAACCGCCGCCACCAAAACAGACGGATCGGACGACCTTGAATGCACCGCACATGCCATCTGCCTTATGCTGCACGACCTCGACCGCCATCAGACCGAAAGTAACTCGCCACCTTAGCTCTATTGCCTCTATGCCCTTGAAACTTTGTCACAGGAGATCTCAGTTCCGACCTGGGACTCCACCCCCACTTTCCCAAAAATCCTTGGCACACCCCTTTTCGCACTTCCAGGCCCACATCCCACTCCGATCAGGAAGTCGCGTTGGGCGTGAGGTTGGTATCGGAGCCCGACACGTGGTAGGGTTCCAGGGCTCATAGCTGGGCGATCTGGCTTATAGGGGACGACCTCGACCCCGGAACGCGCATCGACGCAATGCCGTCGTCACTAGAAGCCGGTCTGCGGCTCGACGGACGGTCAATATGAATGCTAATCAGCAGAACCCCCAACAGAACCTGAACCCCCAACAAAATCGTAATCAACCCGTACCACGAGCACGGGCACCCATGACGCCACCCGATCTCTATCTATTCGACCCTGCTCATCACCTCGCTGGAGCATGGCTGGCCACACTCCGAGTTCAGCAGTATGATGACAACGAGGCGCAGGTAAATATCCCTGCACGCTTGGGAGGAGACGCCCGTCACTGGTTTAGCACCTATGTATGGGTCGATCTCCCAACGTTCGAGCGAGATTTCTTGAATCGATTCGATTATATCCACCCTGAACAGACTCTTTTTATGACCAAAGATCGAGTTCAAAAACCCCTCGAATCCGTCACCGAGTATCGAAACCGATTCTATAAATGTTTGTGAAAACGGAACGAGGCGAACAGGTAGGCAGAGATTTGTTCATCGATGGACTTCGCAGCCGAACGATGAGGGCGAAATTGCGAAAACAGTTCTCCCCCATCAACCACACACTGCAACAAATCATGGCACCTGCAGAAGAAATGCAACGAAAGTTCATTGCGAGTTTCCTACAAGGGGAAGACTATCATAGGGAAGGAGACTCGTCCGAACTAGCGAGAGCTAAAGCTGAGTTGGCGGCACTGCAGAACAAATTTGAAAACATGGGGTTTGTGTCGGGCCCTATCACCTACCTGGATCAGATTAGTCCCAAACGACTGGTCCCGAGTGTGATTACGAGCATGCCCGTGCCCGTGATGGCAGCACCCCCGCCACCGATCGAAACCGCCGCACGATCGAATGAGTCTTCCGCCCTATTAGAACTAACCAAGATATTGGTTACTCTGATTTAGGAAAGCAAAAAGGAACAGCGGGAACACAACGCTCGAATAAAGACAATGATGAGGTCGATGCATCCAATAGCGGTGCATGCCGCCCTGATTCAACACGGATTGGCTCCGACACCTCCTCCTGCAGGAATCCCTGACAATCTGAACGTTTGTTACACGTGTCACCAACCAGGGCATATAGCCCGAGATTGCCCTCATCGACCCCCCCAACAACGAGTCAGAGCCGCACCAGTAGCATCGGCCCCGATCGCCAACGGACCCGGACGAGTGGGGGCATTGATGGAAGAAATGGAAGGAGGCAGAAGCACATTAGCTACAATGGAGGATGCTGCTGAACTAATTTCATTGGATCAGTATGTAACGCTTGGCTACCCAGGGCTTGGGATGATTGGAACGATTAGACCCGCGCCAGAACAAAGAGAAGTGGCGGAATGGCGACCTTCTTCAGGAGAAATGGAGTCGAGAGGACCCACCTTCGTCACTGGGGAGATCGATGTTTTGAACATCGTTCGAGCCTTAGATCATCGGAGGAACAAGCCAACGAATGGATGTTGCAACATTTCAAGGCGAATCGGAAACGATTCGCCCTTGCCCGAACAGCGAGCACAAAAGCGAAAAATCCCACGCCAGATGAAAATGCAGCAAAAACTTCAGATCCAATACGGTTAGGATGAATCCAGAAAGATGATCACTTCCTACGAATTAAACTGATTCCATGGAAATCCGCCGAATGCGACATCGAGATATGGAGAATCCCGTACAATGTCATTATCGATTCGGGAACCGCTGTTTTGACTATCTCGTTACGGGTAGTTGAAAGGACAGGAAGAAAGAACGATCTAATCATGCTTACGGAAAAAGACCAGCTCATTTCAGCAGACGAAGAAAAAATTAAAACGGTGGGACGGATGACAAATGTCGCTTTTCGATTAAGGAAGGTACATGCTTTGGGAGATGTCGTAGTCTTAGACGTAAACACTTACGACGTTCTTTTCGGCCTTCCCGCTCTTGTGGCCCTGCGAGCCAATCAGGATTTCGAGAGACGATCGATTGTCCTCCGAAATACAGGAGGAAAACCTTATGTTGTACCAATGAGATTGACCCTTCGTACCACCACTAACGTAACTCCGCGAGTCTCCCCCATGTTGGCGGGAACTCTCCGCGTGATTACCTGGGATAATTCCGTAAGCGACGGGCAATCGTCAAAGGACACGGACAACACTGACGAGGATGATCCGGTGATCCTCGAAATGGCACAACAGCGTACCCATTACCCTATACAACGAGCAAATACAAGATCGCTAAGCCTAACTCATCAGAGTCTACAAAGAACGTAAGCTACGATTATGGGTGAACCCCTCGTACAGATTTTGAGGATGGTCGATTCCTTGGAACCCCCGCGAACCTTGTACGAAGGTATCTCCCCTCTGCTCGCACGAGACAATAACAAAAGGCATTATTGCGACATCACAAATCTCCCACGATCTCTTTTGACGCCTGCAAAAGAGATACGATTGATACGCTTAGGCGCGGAGACCAATTCTTTGGAACCCCCTGAGCACCTCGAAACCGGGCTCGGAATTAAAATTGCGACGAAACCAGTGTCTTGGCAGGACATTCGAGATGAAATAACACCGGAAGAACACGTGGCCATTCGATAACAGGATGCACAGATGATGCCACGGTATTCTCCTGGCGATCGGACAATTCGTTTATTTCCGCGCCCCCACCCGAAAATACTAAACGGGTGAATACGAAACACATCGATCTACGGATATGGGATGAGCTGTATGAGTTGCACGTGCCCCAATACGTACCGGATGAGATCCATCATTTAATTGCGGAAATTCTAAAGGAATACAAAGAAGCGATTAGTCTGACGGACACAGACATTGGACTATCGTTAGTCATACAGCACGAGATTCAAATAGGAAACCATCCCCCGATCCATTGTAAGCCTTACAAATATTCCCTGGTAGAGCGAAAAACGGCCCTCGAGCGGATTCGAGAATTCGAAGTCAATGGGTGGATCGAACCCGCCACCGGGCCATGGTCGTTCCCGGTAGTATTAGTGTCAAAAAATAACGGTTCGATTCGCATATGCATTCATTATCACAAGTTGAATGACATCACGATCAAAGATGTGTACCCCCTTCCCAGGATTGATGATTTGCTGGATGCGATTGGATGTGCTAATTATTTCAGTAAATTTGATATCCGTCATGGCTTCCATCACATTCTGGTTGAGGAGGAAGATCGACCGAAAACGGCCTTCGTACTGTTTGAAGGCACGTGGCAGTGGGTTCGATGTCCGATGGGGATTTCCAATGCGCCTGCCACGTTTCAATGGGCTATGAACGTGACATTTCAGAACTTCGTCAACAAGACACGGCTCACTCAAGGGATGATGAACTTCTGCGTAATCGTGTACATGGACGACATCCTCGTCTACTCGGAGACCTATCACGGGCATGCACACCACATCAAATGGACACTAGGAGCTCTGAGAGATGCTGGGTTTAAGATTGCGCTCGAGAAGAGCGAGTTTTTCCTCTCGAAAATCTCGTTCTTGGGTTACGTGGTAACACGTGGAGGACTCTGGACGTCTCGACACGAGCCCGTGGTGGTGCGTCCTGAGCTCGTCCCTTTCCAGCGTCCTCAATGAACCGATCCCAACTCTCTACCTTCACTCTCCCCTCTCTCTTCCCTACCTTCTGGCAGTCTGACCTATGCCCCCATCTCTCTTTTCGTCTGGAACCACTTGCTGTTCCCCTTCTCGATCGAAGACAGTGGAACAGTGGTGCGAACACTTCGTCGATCTTTGGGTGTGTTTGGTCGGAGCACAGCTGACGTGGACAAGGGACATAGAGCACCGCGCTTGGGTCGCATACGTGGAGCTGTTGATCATCCAAGCTTGGAGGACGGAGGTGGAAGGAGACCTCCTCGGGATCGGTGCGGCCCGGCCATCGACAGCAGATCGTACAAGAGCTCACGATTCCCCTCACGCAACTGGTCGACGACCTCCCTCTCGATATCGTTTCGCAGTGTGACAAAAGCCCGGTCCCGCATGTCCTTTCACGAACCCTGATGCTTTACCTGCAGTGGCCGGCGTGCCTCGGGGAGCTAGCAGGGAGTAACAACAACCCGCCATCACAGCAACAATACCTGGACCCGCGGGGAATAATCGACCTCGCCTTCTTTCAGCCTCGAACGGTCTCCGAAGACGAAGCGATAACACTAGAGGAGGAGGAGAAAGAGGAAGAAGAGGGAGGAGAAGAGGAAAAAGAAGAGGAAGAAGAAGAGGAAACCCCGGAAGAAGGAAGTTGCAGCGAGCATGGCGAGGGGGAGCAGAGCGAAGAAGAAGAAGACGAAGAAGAAGAAGATCAGCTGGAGGAAGAGGAGGAATCTGAGTGGGAGATGTTGGGAGAAGAGGAGGATCGAGCAAAGCCTCACGAGAAGGATCCCGAGGCAGCGAGAAGAAGAGAAGAGATCGCGGCAGGCAAGTTGCCGCTGGAGTTCCCGAGTGGAGTGGACCTGCTGATCCCGAACGACCCAGCCAAGGATCCCGAGTCACCCAAGGGCAACGATGGGGACCTTGCTGCCGAGACTTCGAGCGCACCGGCCAGACGGCGACGAAGCCCATCCCCCTCCCCCTCCACCTCAGCCCGTCCACCAGTTCGAGCTCGTACCGATGCGGGGCATCGAGCTTCATCCCCGGTCCTTATCCCGTCGTCCCGTTGACCACGTCACCCTCCGCCAGATCACAACCCGCATCACCTTCCCTTGCAATCCCTTCCCAATCGACACCTTCCGCTTCTTCTACGCCACCCGTCTTGCTGTCACGGTTCATCCCCATCCTTCTACCCGGTGTGCCACCCCTGTCTTTTGTCTCCACGCCCTTCTCTTCAACGCCGCGTGGCGAGGCCACAACATGGTCGAGGTTTACTGCATGATCACGAGGACTATCCCCGCATGTGAAAACCACGATCACTTCCGCACAGCGCTTTTCCCAACTTTCACCACCCTTTACCCCGACTATCTCACATCCCTCCCCCATAGTGGCAATCGATTCCCTCGCTTCCACCGGATCATCTGATATCAGGAGCTTCCGGAAACAGTCACGAGATTGGAACGCTTCCTGCCCCCACTCCCAACTAACCCACCTCCTCGCCATGCCCCCATGTAGCGTCTTCCCTTTCCCCTTCCCTTGGGACATTGATGTATGGTTGATTGGCACGTGCCCCAGCGATGGCACTCACGATCCCCTCCTCGGACTGAAGAGAGCCCATCCTGAGGAAATTGTAGGTTAGAGCCACATGTGTCACCCTGCATAACGTCCACACTCTTATCGAACGGTAAGTGGCAACCAAAAAGGCTCCGCGTGTCGATAGATTAGAAAGATCGACACGTGTCATGATTCAAGCAACAAGAGCTTGCTTAAGATTGAAACCCCCTGGGTGTCACATATGTGACGAACCAATTTCTGTTCCGCGCGATTTTCTGGGCGATGACAATGAGGGGTCCTAAGATGGGAAAGCTGGGCCAATTACGGGAGATCGGGATCGAAGGGAAATTGCATCGGTGTCCTCGCTTTTTCGTCTTTTCTCTTTCGTCGCTTCTTTTCGGATGGTTGGGTTCAGGGCAGGGCAAGTCCTAAGATGGCCGATTGAGTGGTTGTCGCGCCGACAAAGGCGCGAATAATAATGTTTGACGTCGCTCCTTTCTTGATTTTGTTGTCGGGTTTTAGGCGCGGAGGTCGCGCGGAAATTTTGCTCCATTCTTTTTGAATTTCTTTTTCGAATTTTGTCGAGTCCTTGACAACTCTCGGAACTTCAGATTTTCTTTTCAAAATTTGTGCTTCTTTTTGCATTAGCTCGGAAGTTAGGAATTTAGGAATTCGAGTTTTCTTTTGTCACGCGTGTCTTCCTTGCGCGCTTCCTTTTGCAGCTGCAACGGAGCTCTGGTTACTCGGCCCCCTTAATCTTGCAAATAACTGTAATTTTTGGGCGGGCGCCATTGTAACTGTATCTTTCTTCTTGAGCTTCGTCTTTCCCGCTCTCTCTTTCCCTTTTGCTGTGGCCCGCGACCTGCATGCTCGGATCGATGCGTGGAGAGTGGCTACGTCCCCCACGCCGTGGTCTGGCCATGCAGAACGTAGGCGCTCCCTCTCCTAATCTCCTTTCTAAGTCCTTGCAATTCCATGTTCTTCGCGCATGCATGCACACTATAAATTCTGGTTGCGCGATTAAATAGCTCTCTTAACCAGTTGTTGGAAGCTCGGGGTAGCGCGATCAGTGAGGGTCGGCTCACGAGCGAAGTAAGAGGTGACTTGAAGTGGGAGTCGGGCGACCCGACGAGTTGGTGCCGAATGTGCGGGGTTGACGCGTGGGGCTACGACGGACTGTAGCGCGCGGGCGAACCTGA